CTGCTTTTTTTCTCAAGGGAAGGGTTAAATGCAGAGGTACATTTCTTCAGTGAGAGAAACATAAAGATCAATTATTATTAGATGTATTTAACTGTTTGTTTTCTTAATACAACCACACACCTGCTATCAAATCCAAATACAAAATATTTATGTTTCATTACTTTGAATTTGGAATTAAGAAATGTCCAATCTCTTTATAAGATAATTTAGTGAGTTTCATCTCCATAATGTGATTGTCTGTCACAGGAGTCTGGCATAGTCTAATACTGCCCTCTGGTGGATACTTGTAGAAGCACAGTACACTGAGCTTGATTTCAGTGTTTAAACAACATCTTAACAATTTAGCACTGTGTAGATCAGGTCAGATTATATATTGTGATTAAAATCAGACATATAATTATACAACAAATATTCCAAATTGATTAGAAAAATCAATTATTGACCCATTTTTATTTGGAAAGAATCAATACTAAAAAATGCTGCATTCATTTGTAGTTGATACTAAAGGTTTAAGAAGTTAGGTTTAATTTTGACTTTTTAATGTCTATTCATAAGAGTTTAGAAAACAATCATGCCAATATTTATTAATCTATTGTCTGTGAAAGGGGTGGGCAATTCCAGTTTCTGAGGGCTGACATCCTGCAACTTTAGATATGTTGTTGGTCCAACACACTGGAATAAAGTCATTGGATGATTAAGAGCACATTTGTGTTGGACCAAGTGCATATATAAAGTTGAAGGACCTTCTGAGGCCCTCAGAAACTGGAATTGCCAACCCCTGGTCTATGCCTTGCCTTAGCAGAGTACTTATCTTTTGGCGTTTATTAGGCAAAAGGCAGAGATAAACATTGTTGCTAAATTGAAAAATAGCACATCAAGTATTTCAGACATCAGCAACTAGGTGGGCCCTGATGTTTGAAGCAGTTGCACGGTCTAATACATCAGCTTGAAAAATATAACTGCATAAATATATCTTCTTGTTACTTTATTTGGGTGTTTGGGTTTTGGTTTTCATCTGTCTTTTGATTTTTTAGGTGTTATCATTATAACTTTGTTGTGCTTTTTATTGGTAATGCAATATTTCCATGCTGCAGTAGGTAATTTTGTTTGTTCTAGTGTTTTTTTTTTTCATTTAGTGTTTTTCCTTTTTTCTAAACTGACTGTGTAAATCAGATGCAGACTTTTCCCACAAAAATAAATCATTCATAGAGAATGATTAGAGAAAAGAGAGTAACAAAAAAGACAAACAACTAGCAGGGAAAGTTAAGAGAATATAAATATGACGTTATATTAACATATTATCCATCCATTTTCTGTCTCACTTATCCCTACTGGGGTCGTGAGGGATGCTGGTGTCTATCTCCAGCTGTCTACAGGCAAGAGGCGGGGTACACCCTGGATAGGCCGCCTGTCCATCGCAGGGCAACACAGAGACAAACAGGAAAAAAAAAATATTCGCACACACACTCACAATTTAGGGCAAAGGACAATTTAGAGAAACCAATTAACCTGTGGGAGGAAGCCAGAGTACCCGGAGAGAACCCACGCATGCTCAGGGAGAACATGCAAACTCCATGCAGAATGAGCAGGGCCAGAAACGGAACCCAGATATTCTTGCTGCAAGGAGGCAGTGCTACCCACTGCGCACTAAGCAGCCCATGTTTACACATTAATTAAATGTTATATCTTGTGCAAACAGGTGAAAAGGTTATTTCCTCTTTATGGTTTTTCTCTATGGGTCTAAAGCTTTGCTAGAAACAGGATTGAACTCATAAGAAATCATGTTTTTGACAGGAAACAAAGTTTTTGTTGTGTGTGAAGAGTTTCTTCCCTTTCTCCCCACTGGTCATATAGTGTAATGCCATGTGTTTTTGGAAAATACTATACCAGCATCAGCATTAGGTATGAAAGCTTGCAGCGTTTATCATCTGCAGAGACCTGCGTCTAAGCGAGATTATGACTTAAGCTTTAGTCAGTGGTTTCTTTGTGCCCTAGGTCAGCGGAAGTGTGTGAATTATTTTCTCCTCCTCAACTTCCCTGCTCTTATTCTTTACCAGCTGTCCACCTTTCCTCTGATTAGTTCACCAGGTTCTGTTTAGATTTTACACTCCTCCCTCCGTATTTAACCTCCAGGTAACTCTTTGTTTCTTGTTGTATATTTCTGTTGCACTGCTTTTTCTCTGTCCGTGCTTGATTTTCTGTTCATCCTTTTCAAGACCTATAGGTTTTTGGTTTTCTTATTTAGACCTTCACCTTGCTCATCAAGAGTTATGAAGCTCTAACCAGTGGATCCAGTTTGATAACATTTCTACTTACATAAGCAAAACATTCCATAACAGAGTACTTCCCGGTGCACATGCTAAATTTGATTTGTCCCTATTACAGTAAAGTGCTCTGAGTTTACATATTTCAACTCAGTGTCATTATTTGTAACAAGGCAACACTTTAAGAATAAACTAGATCATTTGATGAAAGGTCAGGCATTTCTGCTGAGCCAAGACCTTTGACAACTCTACTAAGAGGTAAGGTGTAAAAATGGAGGTAGTTTCTTATTAAAACTCTCAAACATCTAAGGAAAGTTTTATAAAAAAAATAATAATATATATATATATATATATATTATTTTACTTCCTGCTGTTTTGTTTTCTGTGGCATGTTATGCTTTTACTTTTTAGCTTCCTGTTTTTAATGTTTTTATCTGCCTGTACAGTGTCCTTGGGTGTTGTGATAAGGCGCTTTCAAATAAAATGTATTATTATTATATATAAAAAAAAAAAAATAAAAAAACTGTTTTCTCACCCCTCGTGGGGTGGTATGTGTCATCCTCAAGCTCGG